ACAGTAGGTGAAGACGCTCCTATTGACCTTGTTGGGCTTTATGTCACCCCTCTGCACCACCGTTAAGCACTGTGTAGCAGCCAAATTTCAAACCCTTCCAACTTTTCTGCAAGGGTTTTTTTCCTGATCAACACCAAAATACGTATGAGCCATGGAGTCCCAGTTGAAATGTTAGAAGTCACTGCCAGAACTATTGCTGTAAGGGTAGCTTAGTATCAGGAACACACATTGATCTGGTGGCTTAGTACATGGTGCCAAAACTTTGCAAGTTTCAGAGACCTGCCTAATAATTAACACCCAATCACATCAAATTCAGTGGACATGCAGTCCTTCAATTACCCATAAACAACTTACAAGTTTCATAATTAAAATGTGCAGTAAATGGGTATACTTTAGTAATCAACAATTCTGTGAAAATCAGTAGACTTAGGTCCCTGAGTCAGGTGCTTTTGAAACAGAAATCCAGCAACGCAGACACTTGCAGATTCACATTCCTCTGAAACGGAGTTATTTGTACTCCTCAGCACAGATAAATGTGTTTATAATCTACTAGGTGTTAGTGAAAGAGTGAGGCTTTGCTGACACCTGTTGATAAGTATCTGAACAGCAGAACTAATATCTTCCAGTTATGAAAAAGATTCTTTAAGAAAGCAAGAGTAAAGATATAGACCCGAATTCTTTCTAGCACAGAACAGTTTCAATTCATTGGAGAATCATAATGATAGGATGAGTTTGGAGAAAGGATGAAAAGGAAAGGTAAAAATCAAGATTTGTTGTTGGCTTTTTTGTCAGATCTTCCCTGACAAGGACGATGAGGTCATTTCCTACCAAGCCAACACACTTCTAGCAGGGAGTCACTTCACTGTGGATGTGCTGACTAAGCTGAAAGAGATTTGCTAACGACTGGATGATCAGCAGAAGCATAATCATTGGCAGCATAGAGCAAAGTATGTTCTTCAAATGATCAAATTCATACTAATACAGGGACTTGATAAGAAGTTAAAGACTGCTGAGAGGTTTACAAACATTTGGAAGCCTTTTTTCCCTTACTCAGCAACCTACCCTCAAAACTTGGCGGATATTCCCTGTGAGCTCTGATAGGGTTGCCTACGCCTAATACAGAGTAAAACTTCAATAAAAGCTTTATAGGCTGCTACAGCACTGAACAATTAAGCTAGGTGCCCAACTTTAAGCTTTGATACAGTCTTAATATTAGTCACTTTCAACTTTGTGTTGAACAAACTTACTGAAAAAAGGAGAACGCTGATACATCATTTGTAGAATTTCCATTGACTTCCATTGCTTATTGCATTCCCTTTAACTGAAGGTGTACACAGACACTTTCAAGAAAAATATGTTTTGGATAATGTTATGGACACTATGTAACCTCCGTTAACTGCCTTTCTCATAGCAAAAAGATCAGAGTAGAATTGCTCCATTGGCTATTGCTCACATGCGATCCTTCCTCCTTCCCTTCCTCCTCCTCCCTCTCTCCCTGCAAAGAAACAAAAAAGAAATTTACAGTAAAAATAAAATTCACTTTCTGCCCCTGGTGCTCACCTTCAAAGGAAAATTATGCCTTGTAAAATATAGAGCCAGTCAAAGATCTTGTCTAGGATAACCACATACTTGAGTTTCTTTGCATATTCCCACCTTCTTGGTATCTAGGATTGGAATATCTATATCTGTATCTATTAAACGGAAGGTATTACACCAGATGATTTCTATGATTACTGGCTGCTTGCCAGCCATTCAGTCATTATCGTGCTCTGGTTTGAAAGGGTTGCTGAAATCTGAAAAATCTGGACACTGTTTAGCTCAATGATGTGTAGTTAGCCTGACCTCTTCTGGCAGACCAGAGTTCTTCATGTGTGTCAATATGTCTGTCCAAAACTACCAGTGCACATCAGCTGGAATGCTGTTAAAGTTCATCTACAGACGCACTGTGGGTGTATCTAGGATACCTGAGACTACTCCATCAGATCTACCCGCAATCAGTCTCACCAAGCTGCCTAACATCCAGAAATCCTAGGCAAAAGTAAAATATTCATTCATTCAGGACTACGTTTTCCTATCTGGAAATGAAGACATTTTCTTCAACAAGGGGTAGCTTTGAATCAGAAACAAGTGCTCTGCAAGATCTCTGCTATGTATGAAGCACGATAATAGCCAAAACTCTCAGCTTTTCTGTGCACATCATCCTCTTCGTGTAGCGCAGAGGGAAGCTTCACAGAAGTATTGAGCTAGCTTTGCTTCAGAGACATGCTCACATGTCTGTATTTCCTTCTGGGAAACTATTCAGAAATGGTAGTCTTCGACTGTTAGCATTTATCTGAACAAGTTGCTTGGACAACTAGGAAACTTCTATTAGCACTGGCTGTGTTAAAGCATTGCCATTAATTGCTCGGTTGGTTATATGTTCGTTCCCAGCATCAGAAGAAAAGTTCTGGTTGGCAGCTAGTTGACAGCTCTGGTCCCTTTTTATAAAAGCAGAATAGTAAAGAGGCCAAGAAGGAAAAAAAGAAGAAAAAAATAAAAGACAAGGAAAAAAAGGGGGCGGGGAGCAAGGGGAATCCTAGCCATGTATCACAGAATCACAGAATATTCAAGGTTGGCAGGGACCTGTAGAGATCATCTAGTCCAACCCCCTGCTCCAGCAGGGACACGCACAGCATGTGGCACAGGGTGGTATCCAGGTGGATTTTGAAGACCTCCAGAGAAGGAGACTCCACAACCTCCCTGGGCAGCCTGTGCCAGGGCTCTGGCACCCTGACAGGGAAGAAGTTCTTCCTCATCTGGAGAAGGAACTGCCTGTGTTTCAGCTTATGCCCATTTCCCCTTGTCCTATCACTGGCCACCAATGAAAAGAGCTTGTCCCCTTCTTCCCTGCATTCTCCCTTCCTGAACTTATACATGTTAATCATATCCCCTCTCAGCCTTCTCTTCTCTAGAGAAAACAGCCCCAACTCACTCAGTCTCTCCTCATACGAGAGATGTTCCATTCCCTTAGGTGTTGTTTAAGTGCAGCTGATTCTTTAGCAACTGTGATCACTGTTGGACACGCTTGTTTCCTCACAGCACCCCATCCTCAACCTCCTCCAAGTGCATCAAGTAAGAGACAGCAACTCTCTTCATTAGGAGCCATCATTCCAGACACGCTCCTGAGTCTGTAGCAATGAACAGCCGGTTCCACTTCTGGACTGCTTCAGATCACAGTCACACCAACCTATTACGTTGTTAGGAACTGTGAATATCCTTTGGGTGATTTAACCTCTTGGGTCAATCTTACTGTCTGTAACTTATTCAGAAAGCTTAAAGCACTAGTCCCATCACACACACAAAGTTTATTTGGGATAAGTCCTGACAAAATCCTCCACCCACCAACACAGTGATTTAGTGAGGGCTGCTGGTGGCAACCCTGAAGCAAGAGCCGTTTGGAAGTGTTTGCTTGCCAAGGATCCTCCACACACTTCCTCTCCTTCCGTGGTGCAGGAGCCAACTAGGTTTCCACCCGGGAAGAAAAGATGGCTGGAAGGCGCCGACACCGGCAGCACTGCCACAAAACACCGGGCTGAGGAGCCCGGAGCCACCCGGTACCGAGTGCACTTCCCGACAGAGGAGAGAGAGGAAAGGGAGGGAGAGAGAAAAAGAGAGATGGAGAAAGAGAGATGGAGAGAGAAAGAGAGAAGACGCAAAAGCGTCTAATTTTTGTTAGATTCCGCACGGGTGAGGCGCAGCTCGCGGCGGGCAGG